CCCCCTACCTCCGCCTACCCGCCCCCGCTGTTTCTCCCTCAGCCTTCTCCCCTTCCTCCTCTCCCCACAGCCTACCCTCACCCGGCTACCTCACCCAGTACGAGCTCCCGCTAGCCAGGCGATGAAACCTACAGCCTTCTTCAGGAGTTCTTCCGGGTCTCGGGCGGTGCCCCGCCCCGTCCCTCTAGGCCCGCCCCAATTGGAGCGCGCTTCCCGAACGACACATGCGCAGAGAGGCCGCCCGCGGCCAAAGCCAAGTGTTGGCGACTCCAGTCATGCGCTTGCGTACTAGGCGCTAGTCGCTATGCGGGTGCTTGTGGGTGAGGGGGAAGAACAAGAGTAGGGGGCGGGTTTAGGGAAGAAAATTGATACGGGGGTTGAAAACTGGGAGCCCGATTCCGAGGGAGGGCATAAGTAACCTGGCCTTGAAAATGAGGCATTTCCCTTATCCCTGTGACCTGTGTCACCTCCGCTTCGGGGGCGACAAGGAATGGGGAAGTCTGGACACAGATGGGACGGCACCGCAGGAGGCCACGTGCGGGGACGGGAGGCGCCCCCCCCCCCCAGATAAGCACCTCTTGTTTTCCGACCAGGTGGAGGGACGGGCTTCGTCGGGACAGCCTTAACGCGGCTGCTGAAAGCCAGGGGCCACGAAGTCACTTTGGTCTCCCGCAAGCGAGGGCCAGGTCGGGTCACGTGGGTAGGTCCGGGGAGGCGGGGGCGGGCTGGGGCCGGGCGGGCTGGGCATGGGGGCTTGGGGTCTCCGGGACTCTGTGTTTTTTTTCCCCCAGGATGAGCTGGCTACGTCCGGGCTGCCCGCCTGCGATGCCGCGGTCAACCTGGCAGGAGAGAACATTCTCAACCCTCTCCGAAGGTCAGCCCGGACACTGAAGCGCATATTCATCAGAGCAGAGGGAGGAGAGGAAACCACTCTGATGAGACCCTGTGAACTGTGGACAGTGGACTGCGAGATAGAAACTAAACCCACGTCCCGGACCACTCACAATGCACCATGCCTTCACATCCACCTGCCCATTACCAGGCAGCCAATGGCTTAAGTCCTCACAAATCTGGATGCCCCACGATATGCCTTTTCCCTTCGCGGGATAGGCCATTTCTCTAAACCACAATGCAGGGTTTTCCTGGGCCAAGGAGAGAGGGTGTGCTATTTGCATGTGTGTTTTCAGTAGCTTTTTATTTCCCGTTTTTCCTGCAGGTGGAATGAAGCCTTCCAAAAAGAGGTTCTTAGCAGCCGCCTGGAGACCACGCAAATACTGGCGAGAGCCATCTCTGAAGCCCCACGACCTCCCCAGGCCTGGGTGTTAGTCACAGGTGTTGGTATGTGGGGAATCAGAGCCTCCTGTATTACTTGGGGAGGGCAGGGGAGGCTTTTCTAGCTGTGGGTGCCCAGAGTGCTGGGCTTTACCAAGACACAGGAAACTGCTAGCCCCCATACTCTCACTGATCAGTGGGAACCCTTAGAGAAAAAGGGGAGGAGGGTAACGCTACTCCCTGTGCCAGGAAAAATTCTACTTACTCCCACACCCCTTGCTTTCACAGCACACATTTTACTAGGAACAGGGTTCCTGGTTCTGTATTTCACCTTTGCAATCAAATAACTGCAGTAGCAGCTTGTATACCCATCATTATCCATAAAGTGTCTTACACCTGTTTCAGCATTTAATACTCACAAAAACCCTGTGAGGTTTTTTTTTTTATTATTCCCATTTTAAAATTGCAGAAATTCTGCACAGAGAAGTTATGCAACTTGCCACAAGTTGTTAAATGATGGAGCTGAGATTAAAATCCAGGTAGCCTGGCACCCAAGGCTTTGTCCTCCACCACTGCTGTCTAGCAGAGGCTTGGCTTAGTGCTGCATCTAAACAGGACACCCTCAGGGCTGGGAGAGGTCAGCTCATGGAGAGGCCCAAGGAGAAAATAATCATGACTGTCTTCCCACGGGGAGACCCCAAGGGCCCAGGTGGGGAAAGGTCAGGCACAACCACGACACCCAGGGCAAATGACACTATTCCCTGGCAGCATACTACCAGCCCAGCCTGAACGCGGAGTATGACGAGGACAGCCCTGGAGGGGATTTTGACTTTTTCTCCAGACTTGTAACCAAATGGGAAGCTGCAGCCAGGCTTCCAGGAGATCGCACACGCCAGGTGGTGGTGCGCTCTGGTGAGAACCAGGGGTGTGGGTGTCAGGACAGGACCACCTTCAACCAGCTGAGGGTGGTGGGGGGAGGGGGTGTCAGAGGAGCTGACCTTACATAGAGTGGGAGAGTGCCACCACTTCCGGCCAGCCTGCAGATGGGAGGATGGAAGGCCCAGAGCCCCATACCCTGAACTCTGCTACAGAGCTGAATCATAAATCAGCATGCAGAGTGGTGAAGGAGGAGCGGGAGGAACTGAACAGCCAGGCTACCTGGAGGCTGAGGGGCCTCCCTGAATCCTCCCTTTTGTCTGTTCTAGGGGTTGTGCTGGGCCGAGGGGGCGGTGCCATTGGTCACATGCTATTGCCCTTCCGCCTAGGCCTGGGGGGCCCCATTGGCTCAGGCTGCCAGTTCTTCCCCTGGATTCACATTGGGGACCTAGCAGGAATCTTGGCCCACGCTGTTGAAGCAAACCATGTGCAGGGAGTTCTGAATGGAGTGGCTCCAGCCTCCAGCACTACAAATGCTGAGTTTGCCCAGGCCTTGGGTGCTGCCCTGGGCCGCCCAGCCTTCATCCCTCTCCCCAGCACTGTGGTGCAAGCTATCTTTGGGAGAGAGCGTGCCATCATGCTGCTGGAGGGCCAGAAGGTCATCCCACGGCGGACACTGGCCACCGGCTACCAGTATTCCTTCCCAGAGCTAGGGGCTGCCTTGAAGGAAATTGTAGCCTAAGTGGGGAAGGGGGGCGCTCAGGGCAGAATGTAAGGCCTCAAGAGAAGCTTCCTGGTTAGCCTGTGAAGAGGTTCAGGTACTGCTGTGCTGGAGACCCGAACGCATCTGGCATCTAGGGATTCCTCTCCCTGTCCTCTGCTCCACCTTACTTAACTGAGGATATTCACTGTCTCAAGGCCACAGCCTCATCACGTTGAGACCTTAACCACTTCACCTCCTTGTGAAAGAATTTCCATGTTTGGTTTTCCTGTGTGTCCCATTCCTGCCTCGATTTTCCTTTATGTTGTATAGAGAATGGTCTGCTATTGAACTAATAAAGACAAATGATCTCACTAGCTTTGGCTCATCTCTACAGCCTAGATCCTCCTAGAATTTATTTCAAGGCAATCACCCTAGGTGACTTTCCCTAGAGGAAGCTTTGAAGTTACAATAGGCAACATCTCCCTTCTTGGTCCTTCCATTGCCAAGAGTTGGTAACAATTTGGGGGCATGAGGTATCATGTGGGTTGGTACCAGAAGACAAGAAATGACCCATTTTAAGTGGTTCTGTGGTCACCCTGCATACATGCTCACACAGTGCCTTCAGGATACCAGCAGAGGAAGAGATGAAGCCCTAGTCTAGGCCTTCAGATTGCCACTAAATGGCAGAGAGTTGAAGCAGTGACACACTGGTCCCAGGTGAAGCTGTAGCGGGACAAAACAACTACCCCATCTGTGAGACACACTTGGCTCTCACCTGACTGGGGCCACCCACTTCAGTCAACCCGGGTCCGAGCACACAAGGGCAGAGGATAGCTCTGGCCTACTGCATGCTGACCATCCTCGAAAATGAAAGGGACAAAGAACTTAATTAAAAAGTACAGACTCGGCTCTAACCAAGAAAAGTCTCAGGTACACCTCGTCCTCTCCCTATTTATCTACCCTGGTATCTGGCCACTACTTGGCCAAAAGTAGTTCCCCAATTCAGGCCACATTAAGCCAGTTTTTCTTCTGAAATTATGGATTGTCACCTGCCTAACTCACCTGTCTCCAAATCACCTGCCCCAGATTGCTATGGTGGAGTGGTGTACATCACCAACAAGAAAGAAGGGTACATTCTGGGACTCAGGGACCCTATTGTCATCCAGTGGCCTAAGCCAATGTTGGAGGGAGCAGAAGTCAGAGACTAGACAGGATGCTCTAGGGCCTTGCTAATCAGACCCTACAGCACAGCCCAGGGGCCCTGTCCCACCGGATCCAGTCTTCAGCTGCCCAGGAAGTTGTCTAGCTCTGTGCTGTTCCTTCTATATAACACTCGCCTGAAGGAAGGACTGGCCTGAAAAATAATAGAAACACAAACTTGGGGTTGAACAAAAGGAAGGACTACTGACTAGTGCTACCCATGGCTGAGTAGTGTCTACCGGAGATGATAAATTTCCCTGGCACAGGAGGACAGCACAGACACAGGACAGTGACCTGCAGGAATCGGGGAGAATGTCCTGATGTGACAGTAGCTGGTCTGGTGGCCAGTCACCTAACTTCCAACTCTGATTCTTCGGTTTTCACTTTTCAGATAATTAGTTCGTCTAGACACAATCTCCAGAAGCCCCTCCCCTCCCCATACACACACACAAAGCATAAATGGGCCTCATTTATGCAACATATATGATTCAGTAAAGAAAATGATGCGGACCGAGCACACTAACATCATCTTTTCAGAGCATGGCTTCATCAGTTTGGTGAATGGTCAACACTTCAGCAAGTGCAGCTAGTCAGGGGCTTTCTGACACATTCGTGGATCTGTAAACAAACGCGTGAGACCAACTGGAAAGCTGCCATTTGTAGGAACCCTGAGAGAATTTTGGTAATGCAAACAGTCACCCCTAATTAACTACTTTGTGAATGTGATCTGCGGGTTGCCCACAAGGGCTGCAGCCATGATAGGGCACAGTACACTGAGGACGCACTGATAAAATCTAGGGCCTGGGCCCTGGGGACAGAGGCCCCTCTGCTCAGAAAGTGAGGTTTTGGTTCAGATGTCTGTGCAGCCACAGAGACACCTGAGATTTGGTCCAAGTAACTTTCCGCCAAGCAGCCTCCTCTATGTTCTCATTTCTCCTCCCAACAGGTATTTCTACCCCCTGATTTACTGGCAGAAAGACCAAGCAGCTCAGTCAAGGTCACAGCCAGACAACTGAAACCAGAAGCCAAGTCTTCCCCCAGCCTTCTCCACCAGCTGGCCCCCTGCTGCCCTGCTGTGGCCCCCGGCCCCATAACACTAGCTTCCCCCGGCCCCAGAATTCCCTGGGAGCCTGGGCAGGCCTGGGACGTGTCCTCTGGCGATCGAGAACGGCAATCGGAGAGGAAAGGCTTGGCTTCCTTGTCAGCTGTTCTTCACTCCCCTCCTGCCCAGCCTAGCCTCCACCAAGCTCAGCATGGAGCAGTCGCTGTCCTGATCTCCAGCAGCCCCCGCTCCCTCCAGCAGTCCTGTGCTAAGGCAAGAGTGACAGTTAAGGCTGAGCAGATCCTCTCCAGAGCTGCTTGAAGTCCTCATTCAAGATGAGATCAGCTCCCCTTTATGGACCCGCCCCTGGAGGCCCCAGCCCCCTGCACCAATGCTCTCACCCAGCCTGGGGGACTTCAGGATTGCTGCCCCAGAGCTACGAGTAGGCAGAGCAGTTAACTGGGAGGGCAGAGCTTCCAGGACCCACAGCACCAACTCATGGTAAGTCCGGGTCAAGGTCTGAGTCACACAAGGGCTCTCAGAAGGTGCTGAGCAGGGCGAGGTGGCAGCTGCTCAGCACATGAGGCTCAAAAATTGAGACTGAGCAGCGCCTCGGAGAGCCGGTTGATGTCCCGGCAGTATGGCTCCCGCTGCAGGATGAAGTCAACCTTGTGATCCTGGCCCCGAAACACCTCCAGCAGCTGGCGCCGGAGCCGCTCGGTCTCCCGTGTCTTCCGAATGCCGCCACTATCTTTTTCCACTGCCTCTTGCCCCTGTTGCTGACTTCCGTGTTGTGCGAAGCTCGTGGAAGGAGGTTGAGCCTTAGGAGGCCCCTGTGCCCTGGGATGAAGCAGAGAAAACAAGTTGATAAGCGCCACGGATAGAAATCAAAGCTACTCTGTTAATTGGCAAGGCGACTGCCACTCTGGGAGGGGCAACCCTGAAGTTCCCCGAGCTGACCACTGAGTGGCAGTATCAACCCACTTCTGAGGGGAAGGGGACAACCACCGATATGATCTGGTCCCAGTCTAAGAAATTAACCAATGGTCCAGCAGAGGGCTTGTGGAAGCCAGCTGGCTCTAAGTAAAAACAACCACCTTCCAAATAACTCCAGCAACGCACTGATGTGTAAAACAGGAAGTAGGGACTTTCCTGCCAGCCAGAACGTTCTGTGTTAGGATTGCCTGGGAAGCAGTTAAAGCTCAGGTCCAAGGCAATTTTAACTACTTCAGAATTCGGCTGGCCCAGATTAAGGTCACAATTTCCCCAGGTCACCAGGCCTGCAAGGTCCCTGCAAGAGAGGGCCAAGACACAGACATTGCCCTGGAGAGGATGGGGCATTTATTACCTGGTTGGTTTCTTCAGAAATTCATCCAGCATGGGGCCGTTGCGCCCTAACGGATCATCGGGGACCATGAAGAGGTTTCCCGCGAAGGTGAAAGGCAGCAGGCTAGGTGGGCAGAGAATGTGTGGTCAGAGGGAACCTTACCCACCTCCCGGATCACTGAGACCACCACCACCAGCATCTTGAGGCTACCATCCTTCGAGGCAACATCAAGACCCTTCCCAGTCCTCACCCGTGGCAGAGCAGAGCTGGTTTAGAGAAAAGTCTGCCCTACGCTCAGGGGAGGACTCCCTCACCGCTCTTTGATGATTGCCATCCACTTCTCAGACTCTTCCGCCAGATCACGGAACTGGTCGTTGGAGACAATGATCCCATCAGTCTCTTCAGCCAGCTTCACTATAAACCTGTATCGAAAACCATTCTATGTCAGCAAGCCTGTATCAGCAACCATTCTGGAACTCTCCAAGGCCCCAATCCCAATTACCAACTCCCATGACACACTTCTGATGATGGCGATCTGGCCCCCCACCCACCCTGACCCAACCCAGGGTGATTGGATACAGGTACCGTAGGTTAAAGAAGAAGCAAAGACAAATCCAATATGGGCTCCCAATAGCATTCTTCCACTCCCACAACCCACTGGACACTGCACCTCATTGGCTAGAGACAGTGAGATCTGGGCTATTTTCTTCTACCCTGCTTCACCCGTCGGTCATAAATCCATTTTGTTGTTCCTCTGGAAAGGCTTCCTCTCTGCACCTTTCCTGTCCCACCATTCCAGTTCCCTCCTCAGCTATTCCAGTATCCCAAGTGAGATTCCATAGAATAAGAGGAGTGCCCTGCCCCCACCTACCTACTGCCCTCTAAACTCACTTATTCTCCTCCAAAAGAACACAAACCTCTTACCCACATGCCCAGGGCCAGCAGCTACAGTTTTCCAGAATGCAGCTCAAGCCATCCATATGACCTATCTCTCCTGCATTCCCTAATGTACTCTCAACTCCCAAAACCAATGATCAGATTACACTCCATTCTCCAAATATGCCCTGTGCTGTCTGTCTGACTTCCCTGCTTCTCAAACTACTTCCTCCATCTGGAAGGCATATCTCAAACCTCACTAAGAGAATCAGTAGGGGAACTTCAAAAAAAGCAATGCCTGGGTCTGGGTCTCACTTTTAGTAATTCACAGGACTAGGAGAGGATTAGTGATGTGGTGAGTAGGATCTTTTTAAACACATTTAGAAACCAAGAGATTTAGCCCAGCCCAGCTCCTTATAAATCAACAGAAAATTCACAGCCAGAGGGGTTCCCTACCTAGTGTTTGACTTACAGCTTATTTGGCTCTTTGAAGTCAACAGTCAGATCGTCCCTGACCCCCGGCATTCCTGCCTCTTGAGTAGGGCAAGTACCAAGGACTAAGTGGGCAACCAGCACCTGACGCAGGGTGGTTTAGAAGGGACAGCTAATCTGGCTGAGGTACAATGGATGTCTGACCGGGGTTTCTGTCTGGGGAACTAAGGGAAATAAATGTGGTATCACATGAAATACCAAAAAGGCATTTTCAGGTTGAGCACATTTTACTAATGTGTCACACTGAACGTCATTCAGCAGTAGGCCTGCACTGGGTGTCACTGTGCCGCTTCACCGTAACTAGGCAAACTCCAAATTCACCTTGGGCAGCCTGCCGTCAGGACCTACACAACTGCGCAGACACGTGCCTTTCAAACACATTACAAATGGCTCCATCTTCCGTTTCAATTCTGTGTCAGTGCTGGTATGCCAAGAAGTCCCAGTACCTTGGAGAATCTGAAATCTTGACAGAAAACAGAATGGCACTGGGAGACTATGAACTGCCCTTTTGTACAATGCCATTCCCCATCTTAGGGAAGAAAAATAAAGTATTTAAAAAGACAAAACAGGGCCTCCCTGGTGGTACAGGGGTTTAAGCCTCAGCACTACCAAGCTGTTGCCAGCTATTCCCTGCATCTGGCCACGGAACTAACCCACATGGCGTGGCAGACCTCACCTGTCTCGCCTGCTGCTCCCCCCCACAGTGTATTTCAACAGATCTGCCTGCTCTGTCCCCACTGTCTCTGGTGAATCCTCTCACCCCATCCTCTCCCATAACTCTGGCCTACACCACAGATCTTGTATGCACAAATAAATAAATCTTAAAAAAAAAAAAGACAAAATATATGTCACTGTAGTTAGGAAACAAGTCTTTTATTTAAAACTGAATATCCGGGCCCTCCCTGGTGGCGCAACAGGTTAAAGCACAACCCTGTGAAGCTACAGCAGCCACTGCAACATGAGTCGATCCCCGGCCAGGGAGCTGACCCCCAAGACGCAGCAGACCTCTCCGTTCTCACCCGCTGCTCCTGTCAGCAGTGTATTTCAGTGGATCTGCCTGTTCTGCCCCCCACTCAGTCTCTGGTGAATCCTCTCACCATCCCTGTACCTCTGGCCTGTACCCCAGTTCTGTATGCATATATAAATAAATCTTTTAAAAAAAAAACTGAATATCCTAGAAAAATAAAGAACTTATATATGCCAAGGTTTTAAATTGTTTAATTAGCTTTTAAAATCAGCTCATTTCCTACACTGTCTGTTATACTGAGGGAATGTGCCCGGTGTTTATTTAAACTATCCGGCAGCTTTAAGTCCTCATTTTTCCTTTGCCACATCATAGCCAATGCCAAAAGCATCATCCACTCATAGCCGCTGCCCTATTAGTGCACAGCAGAGACAAGAGCCTCTGTCGCACTTGACTGGGTCCCTGCAAAATTAAGGAACATCACCAGCCTAGCACCTTGCGTGAAGCAAGCACTTATCTCACCTTCTTTTGATGTTTACAAGGCGCGTGCTGCATGGGAGACCCTAGGCCAAAAAAGTTAATTCCAGGAGACAGGCCCCCTGTGAGAGAGTGAATGAGTGATACAACCTGGGGGTCAAAGGCACAGCAAATTCTAAGCAAGCCCAGGGATCTTTCCACTAGGCCATAGTTTACACAGTCCTCTCACACCAGGTTTATGTATACTCATCTGACTTACTTTGAACATGTATTCTGGTTTTTCTAGACTACTGGGGGAATTTCACTACATGTTTGGAAATTTAGGTTGTAAGAAGGCATCTGTCAGAAGCATCCCATCTTTTCACTACATCAGTATTTTCCAGACAGAAAGGCACTACACAAACATGAAGCGGCACTTAGTTTGATGAGTGAAATGAATGATGAACGGGACTGGGCACACAGAGGTGCACCATCCGCATCATCTCGCCTGTAGGCCAGGTTGCCCTGTGCCATCAGGGCGCACAAAGGGAAAATCTGGCCCTTCTTCCACCGCCCAAGCTTAGAAAGGGCACAAAGGTTGGAGAGTTCCGTGAATATCAAGCCTGGGGCCAGGAGAGAAGCAAGTACCTGTCATCATAGGAGGAGATCCTCTTGCCGTCCATGACGCGGGAGGGAGTGACGGAGAGCAAGCTGAGGGAGTGCAGCTTGTGTAGAAAGTGACTCTCTAGAGAGAGGAGCATAGCAATGTTAACCTTGAGGTGGAAGGAGGGCCTATCCCTGGACCCCTAAGGCCACACCGGACTTACCTCTGATCTTGGCATCCTTACTACTTAAACGCCACTGAGGCACAAAAACAGTTATGTCACGGTGGCCCCGGTCCCAGAAGTATTGCACAGCGATGGCAATGCCCCGGCTGGAGAAATAATGCTGGAGACCATGCCTGCCAAGGGGAGGGATCAGCACATGGGACTCCTGCAGAGGAGTCTGGCAGCCTGGCTGGCACGCCTGCCCCTCAGCGCCTGCCCCTCAGCTCCTGTCCCACAGAGCTGCCCGCCTGGTTCCCTCCCCAGGGCCCCAAGTCCCACCAGGTACTCACACCATGGCCACGTTGCTGCCATCAATGACAATATGGCGGAGGTCTGGCTGGCCAGGCACGTTGGCGAGGCACAGGGTGAAAGGGTCCTGTAGGGCCTTCTGGAAACGCTGCGTGCCAGTCACCAAGTTGCCCCCACGGGTGCCTCGTGGTTTCCATGGAGAGCCGCGACCTCGAGCCCCAACCTGTTGTTGCTTAACTTCCCTGTCTCCTCGGTCTCCACAATGCCATGGAGGTTCAGGAGCAGGAGGGGGACTGGGTACTCTTGGAGGTGAGGTTTCCCCATTGTGGAGCCGCTGGAGGAGGGAGGCTCCCCGGAGTTGAGATGCCCTTTGACAGGGACTATGGGCACCAGGAGGTTCAGCTTGGGCACACAACCCTCCCCTGTCCTCAGGCACTCCCTCCTTCCCTGGAGTCTTCTGTTTCAGGGGGGGGCCTGCCTCTTCACCCCCTGGCTGTGACATACAGGTCAATTCTCTCTCCCAAGTCTCTTCCCCACACAGCTCCTTCCACCACAAGGGATCATCCTGCTTCCTTCCCCCCTTCTCCCCAGTATTCCTTTCTCTTTGTGACTCTCGCTCCCCTGCAGGTCCAGTGTCCAGAGACTCCCTGCCTCCACTCAGGAAAGCTCTGACTCCCTCATGCTGAGGATCCAGAAGACCTGGGCTCCCTTGCTCCCTGGAGGGAAAGGCGTGGGCTCCCTGGCCCTTGGATGCCTCCTGCACCAGGCTCAGCAGTTCCTCCTGGATGGCCAGAGGCAACTGCAACAAGGCCTCCCTGTGAGCATCGCCCCGGGACTGCAGCAGGGCGGAAAAGTCTCTCAGCTCTCCAGCAAACTGAGAGGCTCCGGCGGTTGGCCCGGGCCAAAAGTCCCCGCTAAGCCGCTCCACCAGCCTCTCCACTAGGCTCTGAGCCATGACAGAGGCCTCAGTCAGGCCGCTGATCATCAGTGAACCGGGCGCCCCCGGCACCAGATGGGCCATAGTACTCCATGTCAGGCAATCAAGGAAGAAGCCCCCAGCTCCCAAGAAAATGCAGTGCAGTTCGGGTGGATAATGGATTTCATGCTGTAGCTCCGGGCAGCAGAGACCCTTCAGGTACTCCTGGAGGTAAGAGGGGAGGAAATGAAAGGAAAGAGGAGACTACTAGAATCATAAGTGGCCCAGTAACCCCTTCAGGCTCATTGCTCTCCCCTGAAAGCCAGGATGCACAGGCAGACAAAGGATTTCTTCTCCCCCACCTCCTCCACCCCAAGACCCTAACAAAGGTAGGAATTAAGAAATTCACTTCTTTCTCTCTTCTGACAGTCTATGGCTAGTATTTCCATTTAGAACTTGGCTCAATTTAAGATGCTGTTACAAAAAAAAAAAAAAAAAAGATGCTGTTACAATTAACTGGTTTCCAGGCAGACTCTAAATATATAGTGGACCCTTGAATGACCTGGGTTTGAAGTGCACAGGTCCACTTGCACACAGGCTTTTTTCTATCAGTGGATCTGTGCTCATAGATTCAACTAATCATGATGTTGGATGTTGGCTAGCTGAATATGGAGGGCAACTAAAAAGGGATTTGAGCATTTTTAGACACCAAAATTTAGGGGGGATCCTTAAACTAATCCCCCCCTGGTATATCAAGGGACACACTATAGTCAACATCTGGGGGATCGAGGGTTATACACAGACTTTTGGCTTCACGGGAGAGAGGGGTAGTTAAGAGTCCCCATGTTCAAGGGCCCCCATATGTATGTGCATTGTATATTTCCATCACAATGATGGCCAACTTTTACTGAACTGATACTTTACATGCTTATCTCATTCACAACAAACCACACTGTGGATTCTATTATCTCATTCACAACAAACCACACTGTGGATTTCAGAATCCTGAGTCAAGTCACAAGGGTAGGTGTAGTGCTATACAGGAACCCCTGACTGACTCCAAAGGAAGTAAAGGGGACCACCCTCCCACTCCACAGAGAATTCCTTGGTGGGGCCTGCTTGCACCCAACCAGATTTTTAACACTCCCAAAAACCACAAACTGAGTTGAATTGAATCACCTGTATTCAAGTCCTGGCAGATTGTAAGTAACCTGGCTCATTTACCAGAAACGAAACTAAAACTACAAATTCATTATTAGCAAGTCCCTTAAAGCTCAGCACCACTGAAGATGCCACTGTGCCAGCCAAGGAGTGGAGATCCTCCCCAGTCCCTCCTCTCCTCCGCCTCAGAGTCTCAGCTGTTTCCAAAAGTCTGAGAGGGGCGTTCACCTTGGCCCGGCTGGCGTTCTCCTTGGGACCCTCCAGCTGCAGCCAGATGTGAGGGGTCTCAGGACAGTCCTTTGGGAGGACACTCATCCCCACCCTGAAGATGCGCTCCACGCGGGTTCGCTGCTCCTGCACCTTGTCCTCCGCTTGGGCTGACACCGCAAAGCGGTCAGGGGACGGCCAGCCGGGCCCACAGGTAGTCATGGCTGCTTGGCTGACCAAACCTGGAAGCAAGGAGGCAGTTCAGGGCCTAACATCTCTGTCTCCGGGCCTACACCAGCGATCAACAGGTCTCATACCAAGTTACCGATCTGGTAAACAATCCGGGAAGAACCTGCAAACCAGGCTATCTTGTGGGTAAGAAAGCGGGGCATTCTGCGGAAAAAAGGTCTCCTCTCCAGCCAGGGAGTCAGAAAAACAAGGCTATCTACCCTGATGGGCGCTGGACCACAGTCCCGAGCAGAAAGGGCGCAAGGGCCCCAGCTCGGTCTGGAGGCCAGAAGGGGTCGATCAGCAACCAAAAAGTCCCTCTCCTCGGGGGACCGTGCAATCTCGGATTCCAAGACGGTCACTTAACGAGAATCCTCACCAAGGATGGAACTGGGCTGTCCTCTGGGGTCTCTTGTCTGCCATTTCCAAGAGTCTAACCACTCTCCCTCCCCCCTCCCGCCCAGCCTCCGCGGTACCCCCGATCGCGCTAGGCACCCCTCCCCCAGTCGGCCTCGGGCCCCCGCCGGCCCCGGGACAGGGGAGGTCGCGCCTACCCTCCCGGCCCGGCCCGCCGCGACCTCTGTCCGGTCCGCACCTCTCGGAGCACGCTGGGGCCCAGCTTCGCCCGCGCCCCCGGCCCAGGATGGACGGGCTGGGGGGCCAAATCTGGGCGGGCCTTCCCGGATTTCTCACCCAACGGGAACCACTCTCCTCCGCAACTCGAACAGTTCTGTTTTTTTTTTCCCAGTCACTTCCTGGCCCGGGGCGGAGCCACCCGGGCCCCGCCCCCCAGGCCAAGCAGGCCCCGCCCCAGGCCAAGCAGGCCCCGCCCCGTCACCGCCCGGCCCCGCCCCGGCCCTCCCCTCCCTGGCCCGCCGCCCGCCGGTCTCGGCGCTCCTGCTCCAGGGTTCCAGTGTTTCTCGGAAATGAGCGCCCACTCTTTTCCTTCCCATGACTATTTGGAAGTCCAAGGAAGGATAAAAACCGGCCAAGGGCCACAAGGTAATGATAACGTCGCCCAGCACTTTCCAACCAGAACTACTGTGGTGGGAAGACGAAGCCTACAACAGTGGAAAAAGTGCCGCAGAGGGGCCCCCCTGGTGGGGTTAAAGCGCAGCGCTAAGAGGCTATCACAGCCACTGCAGCATGAGTTCGATCCCCGGCCAGGGAGTGACCCACATGGCACACAGACCTCTCCTGTCCCTCCCGCTGCTCCCTGCAGCAGTGTTTTCCAGCACATCTGCCTGTTCTGCTCCCCGCTCTGTCTCTGGTGAATCCTGCCACTCCCCTCCCCACCTCTGGCCTGTGCCTCAGTTCTGTATGCATAATTAAATGAATCTTTTTTTAAAATGCTACAGAGAGGGCTATTGACATGCAAAAGATTTTGAAGAGGGGAGGAATGAGGAGAGGAAGGAACTGTAGAAATTGTGTCTCTGTACACGCCCACAACACACGTACACACATGCGCACACACACGCACACACACCCACTCCTCTGGGATCCCAGCTCCTGCTTTCAGAACCCACTAGAGGAGCTGCCCTGAGGTTCTGGCTGAAGCCCGCCTCTCTGGCTGTTTCATCCCTCCTCTCCCTCCCAGAGCCGAATTGCTGTCATTTTGTGTCCTGCCAAGGAGGAGGGAACTGCAGTGACAGCAGGAGTGAGAGGCAGGACCGAGTCAAGGGGCAAAGACAGGTCTAGGAGGGAGATGCCAAGACCAGGTGACAGTGACACCCAGAGAGAACTGAGGAGCAGGCAAGAGGTGGCAGTTGTCAGGGAAGAGGAGCTGAAAGGAGAGGACTCGTGTGTCACAGAGCCCTCAGCCATGCTGACTGCTGAGAGACACTGGCCACCGGGCCCCTCAGCCTCCCCGCTCCTGACCTTGGCCCTGACATTTCTGGTCCTGGGAACCGGGTGGGCCCAGGAGGGGGCAGACCCTGTCCTCCTGGAAGGTGAGTGCCTGGTGGTCTGTGAGCCTGGCCGAGCTGCTGCAGGAGGACCTGGGGGGGCTGCTCTGGGGGAGGCGCCCCCTGGAAGAGTGGCATTTGCTGCAGTCCGAAGCCACCACCATGAGCCTGCAGGGGAAATCAGCAATGGCACCAGTGGGGCCATCTACTTCGACCAGGTAATCCCCTGCCAGTCCACTTTGCCACCCCTCAGATTCTAAGGAAACTGCTTGTTCTGTGGCCATTTGCCCTCACACTGCCTGCCTATCTCCTCTCCCTACATTCCAACCCACACCCCTACTTTCTCACCACTTCTTTTGAATCCGTACATTTCTCCTGCTCCCTCTATTGCCACCCCTTCTTTTCCTTACTCATTGCCCTGCCCCCCAATCTAGTGATTTCCTTGAGCCCCACTCAGCAGGGTCTTCTTCCCCAGGTCCTGGTGAATGAGGGTGGTGGCTTTGACCGGGCCTCAGGCTCCTTCGTGGCACCTGTCCGGGGAGTCTACAGCTTCCGTTTCCACGTGGTGAAGGTGTACAACCGCCAGACTGTCCAGGTGACCTGAGCGCTGAGCCCCATCCCCAGCTTGGAGGGGGAGGGCAAGGGAATAAACAGGCTCAACTGACCCCTAAGACGGAAAGAGCCTGCCTAGCAGAGTCTGGAGGTTGAGCTGCACCCACTGCTGGCCACCTCTCCATCTCCCAAGGAAGCCCTCTGAGCCCAGGTTTCCCAACTCCCAGAGTACCCCTCTGGGGTTGGGGAACTCCCAAAGTATTCGTCTGGGGCTGTAAGAAAAGGGGAGCCCTGGGGATATTGGAAGTCCAGGATTGGGAGGACAAGGATTGGGAGAAGAGCTAACAGGCTCCCCTCCCCAGGTGAGCTTGATGCTGAACACATGGCCTGTCATCTCAGCCTTTGCCAACGACCCTGATGTGACCCGGGAGGCGGCCACCAGTTCTGTGCTACTGCCCCTGGACCCTGGGGACCGGGTGTCCCTGCGCCTTCGTCGGGGGAATCTTCTTGGTGGCTGGAAGTATTCAAGCTTCTCTGGGTTCCTCATCTTCCCACTCTGAGGGCTCAACCCTTTCAAGGACAGGACTCTAGCCCCTGATCTCTACCCCATGGCCTTCTCTTGCCCCAGAGGCAACACCTCAGGGACAGGAGAGAGGCTCCTTCTGGCTGTGTGTATTACACCTCCCTGCATGGGACCCTGTGCCAGACGCCCACAGTGAGGAGCGGAGCTGTGGTGTCTCAGCTCCTGGTCTCTTACTCTCCACCCCCATCCCAGCTGCCCTCCCAGGCTGGCATTGCATACTTGTACCCACAGCCCCAGTATTGGGCAGGGTTAGGCAGGTAAGGGGGCCCGTGCCCCTTTGAGGTCCCTGCTCCCCATCCATCCCCACCAGCTTCCTGCTCAGTGCTATTTGGGGACAGATGGCACAGGTGAGCCAGAGAGGCCCCCACAGGGACACAGATGGACCAGCCTCAGCACACCCGGCAGGTGCTTTCCTATAAGGAGTGGCAGCATCCCAAATCTCAGCCAGCACAGTCAGGAGCAGAGCCAGCATTGCGTGGGTTAGGACAGGGAGTTCAGCAGGAGTGTGGGGAAGGCCACAATCCACACGAAGGTTCTGGCTGGTGGGCCAGGAAGGGGGCATGTGCCCGGCCTAAGTATGGTGCATTTTCCACGTACATTGGGGCAGCAGGTGGTACCAGGTCCCAGGGGGACTCTGCATTCACCACCCCACCAAAGGCACAGGGTATGTATGTTTGTTCCAGCCAATATCAGGGGTAGACACCTTCCTTGGGTAGGTGAAGGTGAGGGTGGATGCTAAGTGTGGGCAGGAATAGCTCTCCAGGTGTGGAGCTCATCAGGGACCATCCCTATTATCTTGGATTCCATGATTCATCTCTTCAGCCACTCACCTGCCAGCATTATAAACTCTGTCTTACCTCGCTGTTCCTTTGGCCCAGCATGGATCAATCTATCAATAAAAAAACTAGAAAATAATGGTAGATGAGACCCTATCAATCACTGACAAGAAAAGATGCCATTACAAACTTGGATGGGGGGGGTACATGATATATGCTGGTATATTGCAGTAAAAATTTTTTTTTAATTAATGTAAAATGTTCCCTAAAGTTAAAAAAAAAAAAAAGATTGGAGGTGCTTGAGTTAAATAGGAAATACCAATGTAAATTTGTGGTTTTTCAAAGAAATGACTTTTTCAAACTTTCTCACTAAAGTACAGTAGAAACAACAGCAGGGAAAATCTGATATGCATTCTTAACACCTGGATCTCTGCCCCAAATATGATTCCCCTTTAGAAGAACTCAGGTTCCATTAAAAAGATGTGGTACATATACACAATGGAATACTACTCAGCAACCAAAAACAATAAACACATGCCTTTTGCAACAACATGGATGAAGCTGGAAAAGATCATGCTTAGTAAAATAAGCCAGAAAGAAAAGGAAAAATACTGGATGGCTTCACTCATAGCAGGAGTACAAAGGACCAGGGGAGAAAATAATAATAATAATGAACAGCCATATACCAGAGACATTTTGTGGGGGTGGAGTGGGGAATGGGATCAAAAACATTGGGGGGAGGGAAATGCATTGGACTATGGTGATGGCACATGAGTGATTTGGTGATGGGAAGCCCACGGGGATTGCAACTGAGATGGAAAAGGGCACAAAATGATGTAAAAATAAGCTATTATATTATTTATTTTTTTAATTAATAAAAAGAACTTAGGTGCCTTGGAAATAGTTAGTTCCATGTTTTAAATAACACTAAGCCTCGGACGTGTTGCTGAGTTGATGATAAAAAAACAGGGATACTTTAGAAAATATATGAAGTAAAGCTGAAAAACAAAGGAACCAATTTTAAAAGGCTCCACTTAACATGCTGTGGTAACTTGGTATTCAAAAGAAAAGTAATTTAGTTAATTTGAACAAAGTGAAATTTATAAAGACCCATGACGCTACAATGATATTCAAAAAGGAAAAAGCAAAGGGGAATGACTGTAATAGGATATTGTTAGTTAATTGTGATAAGTAGCAGAGTATCAATATAGTAGGTATTTTATCTATGCATGAGGTATATTTGTTTTTCCTTATTTGTATAAGTAGGGAGACACAGATACAGAGAGTTGTGAGTAACTCCAGAAAAAAGTTGAACTGTACCAAGAATGAAAGACTGATTGGCCCCTTCTGGTCTTATGTCACAACTAGGAAGAAAGTCCAGCAGTATGTTACAAGACTGAGTGAGTCAAAGGTCCAAAAGATAACCACTCACTGGTCAAACTCAATCCTCACCTCTTAGAAAAGGAAACTTCTCTAGTACCATCCTAATTATAGTAAGATTACAATAACAGTAAAAACCCCAAAATAATAGCTTGAACAAAATAGATTATTTCTGTCTCACAGAAATAGAAGAATCTGTAAATAGAGATTTCAGAGTTGGTCGGCAGTTTTAGGATCTTCACAGTCGAGTTTCCCTGCTTGCTGCTGTATATGTAGCATGCTGCCTCGTGGCACATAATGGCTCCTTGGGCGCCAGCCATTATTTACAGCCCAGAAAGGAGGAAGGGCGAAAGGGCACACTCTTTTCTGAGAGATGCACCCAATATTTCTGATTGCATTTCATTGGCTTGAATTTAGTCACTTCTGACCAGGGAAAGTGAATGGGAAACAGACAGTTCCAGGCAGCTAAAAGTTAGGCAATTTATAGTAAATAAGAGGATAGCAGATATTAAGGAAAACAACTAGCTGTTGCTCTTTTTAAAGATTGATTTATTTGTGCATACAGAACTGGGATACATGCCAGAGGTGTAGGGGCGGTGAGAGGCTTCACCAGAGACAGAGCGGGGACCAGAACAGGCAGATTGTCAAAGTACACTGCTGAGGGGAGCAGCGGGCAGGTCAGGAGAGGTCTGCCACACCATGTGGTCACCTCCGGGGCAGGCGGGAATCGAACTCATGCAGAAGTGGCTTTAGCTTCTCAGTGCTGTGCTTTAACCCGCTGTGCCACCAGGGAGGACCACTAGTTGTTTTTTAAAATTGCAGGTGGACTAGATAAATGTGTCAGTAATCACAGTAGAGTTATTGTACTAGTTTTCAGTTTTGTGCAACAAACTTACCAACTTACCACAGCACCTATTATTTCACAGTTTCTGTAGGTCAGAAGCCCAGCAGAACATGACTGGGTCTCCACGTAGGGGTTTTATAAGATCAAAAGCAACCTGTGGGTAGGGCTGCCTTCGTATTGAAGGGGAAAGAACCACTTCCAGGCCCATTTAGAAATTCAACCATTATGTTAGTTCATCTGGTTTCCTGCACCCCACCTCTCATCTTTGAGTCAACAACACTGATTCACCCTTCTCTCACATGTTTGACTTTAGTAGAGAAAGTTCTCTCATCTTTAGGGCTCAAGTAATTGACTAACCCACCCAAATAATCCACACACTTTTCCCAGTTTAATATCCATTACCTTCATTATAAAAAGTCCTGTTTACCCTGAAAAAAAATCAGAGGTTCCAGGGATTAGAGCACAGGCATCTTTAGGGCATCTGCATGCCATAATCATTAAACTTAAAGTTCACCTCATTTAAAGAAACAACATCTGGCCCTCCCTGATGGCGCAGTGGGTTAAAACACAGCACTAAGAAGCTTAAGCCACTTCCACATGAGTTCGATCCCCGTCTGCCCCGGAGGAGATCCACATGGCGTGGCAGACCTCTCCTGACCCACCCGCTGCTCCCCTCAGCAGTGTGCTTCATCAATCTGCCTGTTCTGCTCCCCACTCTGTTCCTGGTGAATCCTCTCACCCTCCGCATCTCTGGCCTGTACCCCAGTTCTGTATAAATAAATAAATAAATCTAAAAAATAAATAAATAAATAAAACATGTGGTTATAATAACTTCCATGCCTGTGTGTACAAGGTGTGGGCTTGGAAAGTTCACCAAATATACAAGATAAAGACCGATTGACATTTTAATCATCTTAGAAGATTAACTAATTCCCATATCCCAACTAGAATTCACTGATTAATAATCCAAAAGGCCATCATCATCATCATCATCACTCAACATTGTCTGTTCTGAAATAATGTTCTGTTTTGCATGGCCAAATGCAAAAATTGGTCAGAACTAAGAGAGGGTCCATTTCTTGGATCTGCAAAGCCATTTTAATAACGGTTTCAAGAATGGGTAGAATAAATTTTATCATTCTTGTAGCTGTGCGTGCTTTATCAAAACGTTAGATGCTTTTAGAGAAGCTGACATCTTAGGCTGGCGATTCATTTGAAATATGTAAGAAGATTTATGGTTGCAATGAATGTTTAGATAATTTGATTTATAAAATGTGTGGGCTTTGATTTGTTGGGCTTTTGAATGGGGCTTAAATTATTTGCTTAAGTAGTCTTGTGAAGTAAATAGATTAAACAATAAATAAGAACAGATGGTAGTTAGAGATCCTCTCCAGATCCAAAAATCTCCTCAGCGGTAAAGAAGCCTAAGAATAGAATCCAACTGTTCATCCCCCCTCCTCCCATACCTGGCAACTGATAATTGCAGAGAATGGACCCACTGCTGTGGACGTAAATCCATGGTCTCCAGCCACTCCTGGTCCTCAGCCTTCTAATCAATTCTGTGGTTTCCTTTGCCGGTTTCTTTCCTCATAGTCCCTCAAATCTGAAGCCTTCTGTTCTCTCCTTATACCTTTTACCCAGCCAGCTGTCCCCCCACCGCCAGCAGCAGATGGGCCCAACTTGTGCTTGACTGAGAGGGCAAAAACACCAGACAGGAGCCCTTCCCATCATTTCCACAAACTCACCTTCCTCCTAATCTCTGCTTCTTTCTATCTCTCTCAGTAGAAGGCGTATTGTCCCTTCTATAAAAGTGGCCATCTTCCTCCACCAGCCAGGGATTCCATTTCTTCTAAACATATTCTTTCTTTTCTCCCTCTCTGCATATTCCTTCCTTTCAGCAATTGAAGACACTCGAGTCTTTTCAATCTAAAAGAGAAAGGACAGTTATAGAAATAGTGGTGAGTAGTTACACTCAGC